AACCTTGTATACCACATATGTAAGACCAATCCTTCAGTATGCGGCTCCCAGCATGGATCCCATCACACCATGGGTTCCAGGCGATCAGTAGCAGGAACACAAAATCTTCCATACCCATATAAACGGTTCTAAGCGTTATTGCCGCAAGAGGAAAATAACTACCAGTTAAGTAAATCTAGGAATTACGTGTTAAATTATCTCGAGTGATTTTTGTTGATGTTTCTCAATTGAAAAAATTCTCGCCCTGTTTCTCTTTTAAGATCTATGGCGCACTTTCTCCAGGGAAGGTCGGCGCGGAACACCATAACGATGCAGTCATGTTATGAGCATTTTTAAAGGTAGGAGACGGGCGAGCGGCCTCACCAGGCCATATTGGTCAACGAGGGAGGCCGCCAGCGCATAATCTCTCGCCTTCCTCTACAATTATGCCCTATAAGCTACACACTGCAGGATAAACGTATGCTTGTCTGTGTCTAGTCCATGTACATCACTGGTGTACAGGTAGAGTTTGGCTTCACCACTGGTGTACAGGTAGAGCCTGGCTTCACCACTGGTGTACAGGTAGAGCCTGGCTTCCCCACTGGTGTACAGGTAGAGCCTGGCTTCCCCACTGGTGTACAGGTAGAGCCTGGCTTCCCCACTGGTGTACAGGTAGAGCCTGGCTTCCCCACTGGTGTACAGGTAGAGCCTGGCTTCCCCACTGGTGTACAGGTAGAGCCTGGCTTCCCCACTGGTGTACAGGTAGAGCCTGGCTTCCCCACTGGTGTACAGGTAGAGCCTGGCTTCCCCACTGGTGTACAGGCAGAGCCTGGCTTCACTGTAACGTTCAAACTGGAGTCTACCACTGTCCCCTTCCATTCCCCCTTCCTCCCCTCCCCCCCTCACCGGCCATAAGCTGTTGGAGTCAGTGAGACCGTCTTAGGCCTGTGCGTCTCCTCTTCCCCAGCCCTCTTCCCTACGGGGGTGAAATATACCTCTTCGAAGCAGGCAAAGTTGACCCAGGGGTCATGATTGCCTAGAGATAAGGGCCAAATCATTATTGGCCAGAGTGCCAGTACCCAGGCCTAGTTTTGGAATGGGCTGCTGGCTAAATAAATGGCAGGAACCCCGGTAACTAGGATAGTTGTGGAAGGAGCCATTCTCCACTTGGAGGTTGTTGAACTTAATTTTAGTTTGTGTGATTTGGAGTTGTGAACTGAGGTAGTCCACCAGGTCCCTAGAGGGAGAGCCAGCAACATCTTTGGCTGGTAATTGCAGGGATAAAGGTAATGTGCTTTTTGAGTGTTCATGTGCTGTCAGTGGATACCATACCAATTGCCTCGTTTATGATTTATTATCAGTTAGGATATATTTTTCGTGTCCTTTATTGAATAAAGTTCATATTGATTTATTTTGGTGTTTAGCTAATTTTCCCACTAATTAATTCTGAGTCATTAAATTTTCTCATTGCATGCTGTGTTGGGAGTTTCCCTGCATTCCTCCATGCCATTCTGTATTAAAGTTGCCCCTTGATTCTAAGTAAGTAAACTAAAGAGCTGCTAATATACATTCCCATTAAAAAATTTCGACGCAATGATGGAAAGCAGCGCTCATAATGTACAGAACCGCTCCGGATAAAGAGAGCAGCGCTCATAATGTACAGAACCGCTCCGGATAAAGAGAGCAGCGCTCATAATGTACAGAACCGCTCCGGATAAAGAGAGCAGCGCTCATAATGTACAGAACCGCTCCGGATAAAGAGAGCAGCGCTCATAATGTACAGAACCGCTCCGGATAAAGAGAGCAGCGCTCATAATGTACAGAACCGCTCCGGATAAAGAGAGCAGCGCTCATAATGTACAGAACCGCTCCGGATAAAGAGAGCAGCGCTCATAATGTACAGAACCGCTCCGGATAAAGAGAGCAGCGCTCATAATGTACAGAACCGCTCCGGATAAAGAGAGCAGCGCTCATAATGTACAGAACCGCTCCGGATAAAGAGAGCAGCGCTCATAATGTACAGAACCGCTCCGGATAAAGAGAGCAGCGCTCATAATGTACAGAACCGCTCCGGATAAAGAGAGCAGCGCTCATAATGTACAGAACCGCTCCGGATAAAGAGAGCAGCGCTCATAATCTACAGAACCGCTCCGGATAAAGAGAGCAGCGCTCATAATCTACAGGACCGCTCCGGATAAAGAGAGCAGCGCTCATAATGTACAGAACCGCTCCGGATAAAGAGAGCAGCGCTCATAATGTACAGGACCGCTCCGGATAAAGAGAGCAGCGCTCATAATGTACAGGACCGCTCCGGATAAAGAGAGCAGCGCTCATAATGTACAGAACCGCTCCGGATAAAGAGAGCAGCGCTCATAATGTACAGAACCGCTCCGGATAAAGAGAGCAGCGCTCATAATGTACAGAACCGCTCCGGATAAAGAGAGCAGCGCTCATAATGTACAGAACCGCTCCGGATAAAGAGAGCAGCGCTCATAATCTACAGAACCGCTCCGGATAAAGAGAGCAGCGCTCATAATCTACAGGACCGCTCCGGATAAAGAGAGCAGCGCTCATAATGTACAGAACCGCTCCGGATAAAGAGAGCAGCGCTCATAATGTACAGGACCGCTCCGGATAAAGAGAGCAGCGCTCATAATCTACAGGACCGCTCCGGATAAAGAGAGCGGCGCTCATAATGTACAGAACCGCTCCGGATAAAGAGAGCAGCGCTCATAATGTACAGAACCGCTCCGGATAAAGAGAGCAGCGCTCATAATCTACAGGACCGCTCCGGATAAAGAGAGCAGCGCTCATAATGTACAGAACCGCTCCGGATAAAGAGAGCAGCGCTCATAATGTACAGAACCGCTCCGGATAATTAGAGCAGCGCTCATAATCTACAGGACCGCTCCGGATAAAGAGAGCAGCGCTCATAATGTACAGAACCGCTCCGGATAAAGAGAGCAGCGCTCATAATGTACAGAACCGCTCCGGATAAAGAGAGCAGCGCTCATAATGTACAGAACCGCTCCGGATAAAGAGAGCAGCGCTCATAATCTACAGAACCGCTCCGGATAAAGAGAGCAGCGCTCATAATGTACAGAACCGCTCCGGATAAAGAGAGCAGCGCTCATAATCTACAGAACCGCTCCGGATAAAGAGAGCAGCGCTCATAATGTACAGGACCGCTCCGGATAAAGAGAGCAGCGCTCATAATCTACAGAACCGCTCCGGATAAAGAGAGCAGCGCTCATAATGTACAGGACCGCTCCGGATAAAGAGAGCAGCGCTCATAATGGACTCTGTCCTCTGGGTAAAGTGATTACCACGAGACACCAAACCCATTCTCACACCAACTCACCAACTGGATAGTTATCTATGTATTTGTGATGGTCTGAAAGCATATTATGGGTCCAATAATAGTCTATTTATAAACTGGTAAGTGAACCTTTATCCTTAACAGAAAACGACATTTACACATGGAAATGCTTCCAGTTATAACTGTATTGTATTATAAATCGTTAGTTTAAAATATAATAAGTCTATACTTAACTAGTTTTCTCTGAAACGGCTCAAAGAACTTGGTTTTCTATCAATTAAATCCTAAAGATAATTAACATTTTCACATTTCAAATGTTTGAAAATAATACACCGTATTAGCATAACTAATGTAATGAAACCTAACCTATCCTAACCATGGATAAGTATATAATAGCACCAATTACATAGTGGTTTTGAAGTGATTAACTTCAGGGTGTGCATCAGTGCAGAATTATAGAGCTCCGGATAACACGATCAACGCTCATAATGTACAAGAAGCTTTTTGGATAAAGAATGCAATGCTTATAATGTACAAAAAGCCTTTAAGATAGAGCAATGCTTATAATGTACAAGAAGCACTCCGGATAACGAGAACAACGCTCATAATGTACAAAAAGTACTCTGGATAACGAGAGCATCGCTCATAATGTACAAGTGTCCGAGATTACTTAAAGTTCGGACCACTACTGTGTGCATGTAGACTAGGACTGGTGTGCAAGCCGCTCACGGTAATTATCAACAGTGTAAAATGCATAGAGCGACGGCACAAGATCTTGAGGAGATCTTGCTAGATTATACATCGTGTCTGATCTCTACCTGGTGGTGCAGGGAAACCACGGTAATCGGTTCAACTAAATTTAATTATTTAATAGGGCTAGTATATGACGGAGGATCCTTTTATGGGACCGAGCCAGCAAAGTCTAATATGAGGGAGAACGGATTTCCTGAAATACCAAGTGCTTAACATACAAATTTATGCACTAAATTTAGAACATAAAACGAAAATGTATTTACATGTAGAATTGGGATAATTGTCTTTACTTTACGAGGGTTTATAGGCAAATCTAGGCACAGTACTGTCTCTTGCTGACAGTGGTCAGGGAACATAACACAACCTAACTTTAGCACTGGTAATTATGACCACCTCAGCAATAACGGCTGGCTAATACTACTGCTCAATGCAAAAGGACAATTTGGAGATCAAAAATAATGCTCGGGACATTAAATTGCATGCACAATATATATAAAAGCTGACATGTGTTGGAATAACCTTCACAAACACGTGCCCGGTCCACACCGGCATTCTGTGGGACGTTTCACTCGAAATGGACTCAGACAGACAGATTCTAAACTATCCACAAGGCTCACTGGGTTGCAAATAAGCACCACAAAATGCGAGTCCAATTGTGTACACACTACACATTTAGTGCGTACTAAGTCTAGCATCCACCATTTAGAGGGAGCACTTAGGATACGAGCAACGAAACGTTTACAATGTACAAGGAGCACTCCGGATACGAGAGTAACGCATATAATGTACACAGAGCCCATGTTAGCCCAAGCAACAAGGATACGTCCCGAGAATCACACTCAACACTTGGCCACAATGAGTAACAGGAGGAGGCAAATACATGAGTCCGTCACACTCATGCATTATAAACTTGGCCACAATGAGCAAGAGAGGGAAGAGGTATACTCACGTATGATACACAGGTTGTTGCCAGTCTTCTGTTGCCAGCCCGGGCAACAGAAGGGTCGGTGACGAGAGCCACACACGTTGGGTCTGAAACATGCAACACAAAATGTTATCACAAGCATCTTACTGTTCCTCACCTCTCCATATACTCGTTATCACACCACTTATAATATATTATATTTATATTTATATATATATATATATATATATATATATATATATATATATATATATATATATATATATATATATATATATATAAGCTTTAAAAAGCATTAAGAACAATATACAAAATATAGACAAAATAATATATGTTGACGAGGAGTTAAACAAATAATAAAGTATAAATTATTAGTATCGTGAAAAAATGTTTTGGAAAATAACAAAAATAGATCCAAACATTGAGAGTTAACATGTGTCTACCACTCTTAACACGTGTATAGAGTGGTAAATATGTATACTGTAGACACATGTGTAGAGTAGTAACGTGTAGAGTAGTAGACATGTGTAGGGTGGTAGACACATATGTAGGTTTGTGTATGAGTGGGGTGGAGAGGTACAGAGTGCATGAGTGGGGTGTGAGAGGTACAGAGTGCATGAGTGGGGTGGAGAGGTACAGTGTATGAGTGGGGTGTGAGAGGTACAGAGTGCATGAGTGGGGTGCGAGAGGTACAGAGAGTGTATGAGTGGGGTGTGAGAGGTACAGAGAGTGTATGAGTGGGGTGCGGGAGGTACAGAGAGTGTATGAGTGGGGTGCGAGAGGTACAGAGAGTGCATGAGTGGGGTGCGAGAGGTACAGAGAGTGCATGAGTGGGGTGCGAGAGGTACAGAGAGTGCATGAGTGGGGTGTGAGAGGTACAGAGAGTGCATGAGTGGGGTGTGAGAGGTACAGAGAGTGCATGAGTGGGGTGTGAGAGGTACAGAGAGTGCATGAGTGGGGTGCGAGAGGTACAGAGAGTGCATGAGTGGGGTGCGAGAGGTACAGAGAGTGCATGAGTGGGGTGGAGGAGTTCAAGAGGCGTGCTTTCGCAGGGCAAAGGGCACTAATTGCAGCTGTGTAGCTGGTAAGTGGGAGCTTTCATCCTTTAATGGTGCTCTTGATGGTAGACAAATATGGCGCGAGCGGTGATGGCGTCTTGCAGGGGGACATGTTGTGCTCCCAGGAGGCTTTGCTGCTCCTTTAGTCATCAAGCACACCCTCTGTCAGTTGGTTGTTAAATTTCAGGATCGAATATTGCACAGAGTAACGCCATAAAGACTTAAGTAGTTTGTAATTTTGTGATCTTTTGGCGCCTATAATTTTACGTTATGGCATATTAAGGATGCTCCACGTTAATGCGGCATATTCCAGGAAGAGCCTCGTATATTACGTCAACAATTAATATTCTCAAGACCTCATAACTTAGGTTCACATATGCTGATGATATCCACCATATGTGATCTTCCCGGGCTAGGATTCAGGTCTTACCAATTTCCAGGTCCTTCGTTTTTGCTGTTTCAGATTCCGTTCATTTTGTATTGTTCAACGGGTCTTCTTGCACCCTTCATCATATCTCATTATCTGGGATGAAGTCGAATAGCCTTTGCTTCGACCATCCCAGAAACCTCTCCTGGTCATCTTTCATCTTATTAAAATTCCTGTGTTATCTCCCTTCGTCAAATTTGTATCATCCACAAACATTGACGTGAGTGCATCAACTTCGTGTGTGTGTGTGTGTTTGATTTTTTTTTCCTGGAAGGACCATTTAAATTGGGTAGCGTCACTTATCCTTTGAGTAAACATACCACCGTAGTAGCATGTACAACACCCCCCAAACAGAAAGAAAATCCGCTGGGTTTTTCATCCTGTCACTTGTGCCCAGACACAGCTGAGACTTGCTTAACTGTCTTAAGTGAACAGTTGATCAAACAAGAAGATTAAAATTTACCAACCCCCCTAAACATGCATTATCTTGCGGGTGCAAAGTATATTTCAAGAGGATGTGTGTGTGCATATGTGCCGCACAGATGTACAAGTGAGGATATACTTGAAATACCCTCACTCTGGTAACCACAAGTTATATTCCTTCAGCTTCTATCATAGAATCTAGACGTACCGTAGGATAATGACCTTTAATAGATTCTGATGAACTAATAGGTTGGCTAGGTGATAAGGTGCGCCTGGGCTCCCCGTACCCAAGCCACCAACCAGCCCACCTTCCTTATAGGCAGCCAAAACTGACGTTTGGCGGTGCATACTTCTCCCGCCCACCACAATTATCGGCTGGAATATGTAATGACGCGCGTCTCGTGTTTAAGATATAATCGGGCATGGCTGGGCAGCTCTAACGAGCCAAACTGCATCCACCAATACCCGTTCCCCACCTTTATGAGTACATAAATACACGAAATAGTTTAATGCAGTTTGTTCTTCATATATATATATATATATATATATATATATATATATATATATATATATATATATATATATATATATGAATATATATATATATATGAATATATATATATATATATATATATATATATATAATATATATATATATATATATATATATATATATATATATATATATATATATATATATATATATATATATATATATATATATATATATATATATATATATATATTATATGACCGAAAAAGTAAGATTAATAATATATATTAATATAAATTCTAATACGAATTTTCTCAATATTTCTTATGTTTCTTTTCACTGTTGATGGTAATTGAAAAATCATGCTTCTCCAAAATTCATTTTTATTTCTAGTCTGACGCGACGCTTGAACGCGTTTCGCAATAACTTATTACATTTTCAATACCTGCAGTATATGGCCGGTTTCAAGTTCATGTCGACTAAGACTTTTTGCTCGATGGTACCCATGTAGAAGTTTGCAAACAGGACACCTAGGGGAGAACCCATAGCGACCCCATCTACTTGCTTATACATATGCCCATCCGGGCTCAAGAAGGGTGCCTCTTTAGTACAAGCTTGGAGTAGTTTCCTCAGAATACTTTCTGGCATGTCAAGATGCTTTCTGGCTCTTGACATGCCAGAAAGTATTCTGAGGAAACTACTCCAAGCTTGTACTAAAGAGGCACCCTTCTTGAGCCCGGATGGGCATATGTATAAGCAAGTAGATGGGGTCGCTATGGGTTCTCCCCTAGGTGTCCTGTTTGCAAACTTCTACATGGGTACCATCGAGCAAAAAGTCTTAGTCGACATGAACTTGAAACCGGCCATATACTGCAGGTATGTTGACGACATTTTTACACAGGTACCTGATGTCAGACATCTGCAGGAGCTGAAGGAGGCATTTGAGCAGAGTTCCGTGCTGCGTTTCACTTACGAGACGGAAAAGGATGGGAAGCTGCCTTTTCTAGATGTAACAGTCATGGAAAAGGGCGGAGGTTTCCACACTGCAGTCTACACAAAGGAAACAAACATTGGAATGTGCCTAAATGCCAACAGCGACTGCCCTGACAGGTACAAGAGGAGTGTTGTTAACGCATACGTCGACCGTGCTCTCAGCCACAGCTCAGAATGGAAGCAAGTCGACGAAGAACTCTGTAGGGTAAGGCAGGTTCTAGTCAATAACGGCTTCTCCAATGGTTTCATCGAAGACATCATAAGAAGGAAAGTGAAAGCCATGCAACCTCCGAAGAGACAACTAACACAACACCTATACCCCCTATTAGACTATTTTACAGGAACTTCTTTTCCACAGCTCATAAAACAGAGGAAAGGGTCCTGAAAGATATTGTTAATAGAAACGTTATCCCTACAGACAAAAATCAGAGGATACAACTGACGATTTACTATAAAACCAGAAAAACGGCAGCCTACTCATGAGAAACTCTCCAGACACGAAACAGAACGCTTTAAAAGAGACTAACGTCGTCTATGCCTTCAAATGCCCACTTGGGGACTGTAAGCTCCAAAAAACCCAGTATATAGGCAAGACAACAACATCTCTTTCTAGGCGTTTAACGATGCATAAACAACAGGGCTCCATTAAGGAACATATAATCTCTTCCATAACCAAACCATCGCCAGAGACTTTAGTTTACACACACACAACTATAACCTGTAAACACGCTAATCCGTCATACTTATACTCGCATTTGGGTGAGGTGATATGGTGCAACAGTTTTGGATGAGATGAACAAATATATACATACGTGTAAACGTTGACTTAGTGCATATGTATACATATAGGTAAAACCGGTCACATTCTCCCTCACACAGTGCAAGTCAAAGTTCAGTTGGTACTCGTCTCTGGATCAATTTCATTGTCCTCTTAAATTCGACTGATCCACCTGATCAGTCGAACATCAACTAGCCCACAGTTAAGCTTGAGGGCACCTCCACTGACAACTCTGACTATTATATGACAGATGTCTTTCCAAATCCACACGGGGGAGACATCTCCCGTCACGCGGGTGCAGTCGCACCTCCACCAGTCTCCAGTATCAGCTAATGATAATGGTAATGGCTCCAAAGGGTCACCACTTACGGGTTATTCATGCCCGTGCCTCCTTTTGGGTAGCTTAATCTTCATCAATCAATCAATCCAAATCCATATAAACACCTTGCACTGGAGAGTGCTCGCCACCGACGGCTGGGGTGGGAATATTACCTCTGGCGTCGGAGGTAAAGGAGGACGAGACTCGGGGGTCATTTAGTGGGGGTTATTTACTCTCACTATTGAGAGTTATTCACAATAACCACTCTGGAACTATTATTCCAGCCAACACATATTACATGAAGTGAAACTAACTTGATAAAGTTTACAAGTAATTAGTTTGAATTAGCCCGTGTGAGACAGCCTTCAGCGCCAGACAGAAGAGGCTGGCGGCCAGCTGGCGACGCCATCACACTCAAATTTCACGCCTGCCTGCCACCCAAAAGCCCCGCCTTTCAAGACTTCTTCCCTCCTCGACACGATGATACGTCAAATTAAGATACAATCTCCACATTTATACCACCTCGTTAAGTGATGTAGTGTTATCACTTAGGCACCAACTGCTGAAAAATACCTGCTAATGGGCCCTGAACTGACATGGGCGTCGCCTGCCTGGG